GTAAGTAATATAAAGTATATAAGAAAATAATTATAAATTAATTAATAACTAAATACTAATTAATTCCTTAGAGTAATAATAGTAATAATAGTAATAGTAATAATAATAATAATAATAATAATAATAATATAAATAGACTAATTCCTAATTAATTCTTAAAGTAATTACTAATTAATTTACTAATAAACTATTAGCCTAACTCTATTTATTATAGCTATTTACTATAATAAATAAGTAATAAACCTTTTAGTATATAACTAATTCTAAATTAATTCCTAATTACCTATTAATTTATTTAATAGGCCTTTACTACTCCCTACCCCCCCCCCCTTTACTATAAGGTAAGAGTAATATACTAGAATATTAATTCCTTCTTAACTAATTTATAATTAGTTCCCTATCCTACTTTAGCTAGATAGGAACCTAAGCTAGGTATATATATACTAAAATACTAGGCTTTTATTAGTAGCTAGCCTATACCCTAGTTATTATAAGATTAATTATAATATAAATTAATTCCTTATCTATTTTTAATTAATTATTAATTAATTATAACTTATTTTAACTAATAGTATTATCTTTATTACTATATTTAGATTACTTATAGTAGTAATATTATAGTTATTTAAGAATTAGTTATAAACTAGTTTTTAATTAATTAAAATATAATTAGTTAAGAATTAATTCTTATTTAATATAAAGAATTAATTTAGAAGTAGTTTATAAGTAAAAAAGGTATTAATTAAATAAAGTAAATAAATTAAGAATAAATTCCCTTCTAAATTAATTATAAAGTAATTTCTAATATAATATAATTAATTATAAAGTAATTCCTACTATAATATAATTAATTATAAAGTAATTTCTAGTATAATATAATTAATTATAAAATAATTCCTATTATAATATAATTAATTATAAAGTAATTTCTAGTATAATATACCTATATAATTAATTATAAAGTAATTCTTATTAAGTATAATTAATTATAAATTAATTTCTAGTATAGTATACCTATATAATTAATTATAAAGTAATTCTTATTATAGTATAATTAATTATAAACTAGTTACTTTAATATAAATATAGAATATTATTATATTAAGATATATAGTATATATATTAAGAATTAGTAAGGCTACCTTACCTAAGGGTTGTTACCCTTAGCTGAACTTACTAAGGTACCCTTAGGTGAGGTGTATCCACTATTCTTCATGGAGAATTGTCAGCTGAAGCCCGAGTACGTGGTGGTCACTCGCACCGTCCAAGTGTCTGCGCTAGTTCCAGGTTATAGGTCGTGGTCGATCGCGAAAGGCCGGCTCTCGCACGCCGCCGCCACAGTTTCTTAGCTACTGAGCCCGGGCTTTTTACAGGACCACTGGGTCAGCGCCGGAAAAAGTCAATGCATCTTTTTCCTAGTGAGAAAAAAAAAGGGAAAGAGAGGCAAAAAAAAAAGAGGAAAAAAACCGTGAGCAAAGATAGGTCTCACTGGCATTTCTCAATCAAGTCTCACTCGATTCGGAACCGCCCCATGCTGACAGAGGACCACCGCACACTCCAGAGCGCCCCTCTTGTAAGAAAAATCTTGGTTCGTGTTACATTGCGCAATTAATAATTAATCTCTGCGTCTTTGCAGAGATGGCGGTGCTCTAGTTTTGCGGTACGATAGGATTTTCTACGTTGGACTCGGCATCGCTGTGCTGGCTCAACTTGCATATCGCTGGCGGCCCCTGTCTCACTGTCCCCGTCATCCTTTTGCGCGCCCAGTCTCGCACCTCTGGGGGGTTACTACGGCTTACGGCTATCCTACGACGATCGGTGATTTCAATTGACCATCGAATGCAGCCACTGGCGCAAGCACACTGACAAGGGACAATCGCGACCCGACAAACCCTCCCTTTCCTAGCAAACGAGGGAAAAAAATGCCATCAACCGATGATGAAGGCTGCGGCTCGAGCCAAGCGCCGCTGATGGACCTGCAGCGTCACCAAGCCGAGCTGCAGCGCGTCTACCGCAAGATTGACCGGGCCATCCTGCCGCTCATGTTTCTCTGCTACTTTCTCGAGTTCCTCGACAAGATCCTCATCGGCTACGCCAACGTCATGGGTCTGGAAGCCGACCTGCACCTGCGGCCGGGCCAGTTCCAGTGGCTCGCCACCATCCTCTACGTCGGCATGGCGGCCGGCCAGCTGCCGCAGGCCGTCCTCCTGCAGCGGCTCCCGCTCAGCCGCGTGCTCGGGGCCAACGTGTTCCTCTGGGGGGTGCTGGTGTGCGGCATGGCGGGGGCGCGCGGGTTCGCGGGGCTCGCGGCGCTGCGTGCGCTGCTCGGCGTGTGCGAGGCCGTCGTCGCGCCGGCCCTCATCCTCGTCACGACGCAGTGGTACACCAAGCGCCAGGCCGTGCCGCGCATGGGCCTCTGGTACAGCGGCGTCGGCGCCGGCCAGGTCGTGGGCGGGCTCGTGTCGTGGGCCGCGCAGCACGCGCGCACCGACGCCGGCTTCCAGAGCTGGCGCATCATGTTTGCCGCCGCCGGTGCCGTCAATCTGCTGACGGGCGTGGCCGTCTTCTTCTGGCTGCCGCGGGACGTGGCGTCGGCGCGCTTCCTGAGCGACGAGGAAAAGGCCGTGGTGTGCGAGAGCCTGCTGATGGACCAGGCGGGCAACGGTGAAAAGGTGTTTCGGTGGTCGGGGGTCCGCGAGGCGCTGGCCGACTGGCAGGTCTTGCTGTTTGTGCTGTTTACGCTGGCCACGGTGATCCCGGCCGGCTTCATCACCTCGTTCTCGGCCGTCGTCATTCGCGGCTTCGACTTTTCCGCCAAGCAGGCGGCGCTGCTCAACATGCCGTCGGGCGCCGTCACGATTCTCGGGACCACGGCGTCGACGGCGGCCATTCTGTACGATTTTCCGCGGTGGCTAGCCATTGTGCTGCTGCTCATCCCGAGCATGCTCGGCGCGGGGCTCATGTCGTTTGCGACGTCGCAAGCCGCGGCGCTCACCGGCGTGTACCTGGTCAACCTGGACATTGCGCCGCTCGTGCTCGTCTTCAGCATGGTCGGCGCCAACGTGCAGGGGTACACGAAAAAGGTGTGCGTGACGGGCCTGGTGTCGCTGGCGAACGCGTGCGCGAGCATCATTGGGCCGCAGACGTTTCGGCCGCAGGACGCGCCGCGGTACATTCCGGCCAAGATTACCGTCTTTTGCGTGACGGGTGTTGGGATTGCGGTGGCGGTGCTGCTGCGGGTGCTGTACGGCGTGCGGAATCGTGCGAATGCAAAGGCGAGGAGGGCGGCGATGGAGGCGGTGGCGAGGGGCGAGGCGGAGGCGGCCGAGGTGCTGAATGAGGAGGAGACGGACTTGAAGAATGGCAAGTTTGTGTACATGTATTAGACGAGACGAGGGTAGGATGATTGTCACGGTGCGATGTCGTTGACAGTCTAAGCGACAGCGCTAGGGGTGCGGACACGGTAACTGGTTCCGACAATAACTACATAGACGCCGGAGAGAGAATTGTCCATCATTCCGCTATCGGATTCGACGCCTGATTCCCTGAAGAAAGTTTTGTCTGCGTCGCTTCTGTGCTGCGTCTTGGACCTCGTCGCTGCATCCGCCGCATGAATGCTGTGCGAGCAACGCATTGAAGCGACGGCTCAGGGATAGATGAAATGATGGAATGATGGGATACTGACATACTGACTCTGTGCATTGTGCATTGTGCAGAAAGTGGAAGGATGTAAAATGCGCGGTGCATCAGCAACGTCATCGTCTGGGGTCGGCGTGAACCCCTCTCAAAGCGCGAGAGAGAAAAATGAATAACGCGTTATCCGACGCAAGCCATGGCGCGCAAACTGGCCCAACTCGGTGGGGGAAAAGAGGGAAAAGAGTGGGCAGGGTCCTCGACTGCCGTCGGGTAAAGATGGGCGACGAAGCTTCAACGTCGCCTCATTCTATCGGGTTATTGGATACCGAAAGTATGAGAGGATAGTCATGAGGTGATTGTGATTGTGCAAGTAGCGACGATGAACTGTGTGCTGGTATGTCGGCGGGGAAGCCATCGCTGATGTCTCACCACGATCTGGTCTCTACAGAACTGGGGGGTGCCATCTCGGATCAACACCCGGCGGACAGCCACTGACTGCAGAGGTACCTCTTAGTGTGCCTTTGCGACGGCTGCAGTGTGTTGCGCTAGACCACTGTGGCCACTGTCAAAGACTGACACCACTCACCACAGCGACAGCATCGCCCAACGCTCACTCCCAAAAGCAACACGGACAAGCAGTCTTCAGAAGCCGACATGCCAAGCCAATGCTACACCCAGCGGAACCAGCGGCATTTCCAAGAGGAAACCAATTTTTTCCCTCATTTTCTTGCTCAACAATTTTGCTGTGCCTGCTGCTCTGCGTCAAAAAATGCTATGCGACGCAATCAAGCCCACAAAAACTCTCCTCTGCCACTAACACACAGCTGAAGCTTGGTAGCGCCCCAGCGCGGACCGAGTTGAACGAGATGAATGTGAGGCGGCCATGCGGCCGTACACAACGTATCAAGTCTTGGTCATTATTCAAAAGGTCCCTGATTTCTGGGTCCTTGCCAAGTCACTGACCAGCACAGAATACAAGACAACTTGTTCCTTTTGATGCTTGACGGCCACGAGCATCCATCGTGACCTGCGTTTGACCTGCGACTTGCCTTCCCAGAGCTTCACAAACGGACCATCTCTGTCGCTGACGAGACCGGCATCACCGGACACGTGCATTCCGCCACCTCGCAAGTTTACCTCAATTGTGCTTTTCCACCTCGGCAAACATCTTCCCACCAGGCAAACCCGATTTGTTTGCTCCCGACCCCGACCCATCCCCCTACAGCAAACCACCATTGGAGCCGCCTTCTTCGCACCACACAACACAAACGCCCCCCCAACATGCCCTCCAAGGTCGGCATGCCCATTGAGCCGCCGGCCCTCGTCGCCGTCACCGGCGCCAACGGCTTCATCGCCCAGCACTGCATCGCCGCGCTCCTCCAGCACGGCTACCGCGTCGTCGGCACCGTCCGCGCCGCCGCCAAGGCCGCCGCCGTCCAGCACGCCCACGGCCACCACCCCAAGCTGACCGTCGCCGTCGTCGCCGACATCACCGACCCGGCCCAGTACCGCGCCGTGCTCGCGCCGCTCGCGCCCGCCGCCGTGCTGCACCTCGCCGCGCCCTTTCACTACCGCGCCACCGACTTTGAGACGGAGCTCATGGTGCCCGCCGTGCGCGGCGCCACCGCCATCCTCGACGCCTGCGCCGCCATCCCG